GGGCCGGGGGAGCATGAGCCCCGGGACCCGCCGAGGGACGGCCCGGGCCCGGCCCGGGATCTAGACGGCCGTGGGGGAGGGGAGCCGCCCTCCGCGGCGCCGCTCCGGAACCGCAGGGCACTCGAGGACGCGGTCGCCGGCCCCCCAAGGCCGTGCTGTTTTGTTTCAACCTCGCATTGTGCAGAAGTGAAGTGAAGTAAAATGTCCACTAGGACCCCGCTGCCAACGGTGAATGAAAGAGACACTGAGAACGTAAGTGACCGGGGCGTTCTCGGGATCTGCCCGGGCCCGGTGTCCCCCGCTGCCCGCCGGAGCACGACAGCGGCGGTTGCTGTCGGGGGTCCCCAGCCGGAGCGCGCTGGCGGTGGTGGGCAGGCGGTAGGCGCCGCAGGGCAGCCGGTCCGGCCCGTTTCCGGGAGGCGGCAGCCGTGCGGGCTGGGGCCGTGCGCTTGTGTTTACGCCGGAGTCTCGTTTGCTAGTAGAGCCTGTGAGTTGCGGCCAGGCCGGTGGGTGTCCTGAGATGCCGGGGTGCCGCGCAGTGCGTTGCGCGAGTGTGTTTCGGTTCCCCGCGCTGTGTAGCGCTTATTTTAAGGAAACCGTCCCCTTAGATTTGGGCACGCAGCTCTGAGAGGCTGTCAGGTTGAAAACGGGTTCGTGGTGCTGATGAAGAGTGAGTGAGTGGGTCAAGTGGAATGTCCTTTATGCCCGGTTTTTAAAAATTGTCTGGAACTAAGTTTAGTGACAGTCAGTACAGCTGAGTGGCCACTGAGGAGTCTTTGAGGGCCCCTTGGAAGGAACTGCAAAGCTAGTCATGCAAAGCTATTCAGAAGAGAAGTTTTTGGAGAGCGTACAGACTGCATTAAGGAGTAGCTTTCTTTCCATACAAATCTGTTTCGAAGGGTCGGTTAAGCGTTTTTTCAAAGGAAGGCGTGTAGTAAAGCTGCCCTGCTACTCACTGCCTGGCTCGGGGACACCCGCTCCGGGCTTAGTTTTACCTCCTTCCTAAAAACAGCTTGGCTTAAACGAGCCTTAGGTCCCTGCTGGCACTCACATCCTATGATTCTATAAAAGGAACCTTTGATTCTGTTCATGCAGACCTTTTAAAAAGGCCAGGAACATCATTTTTAGGGAATGACAGCTTGTAGTGGAAATTCCTTTGGACAGATGTTGACTCTGTCCGAGTGCTTTCTGAACTCTTCTCTTGCACCGGCTTCAGAACTGTTCCAGTCTAGCTGGGAATTATCTTCTGTAAAACATCTAGCAAATAGCTTGTGAAGAAACTTCACTGGCCTTTCATTATATGTGTTATGAGGTAATTCCTGGCAAGAAAATGCCATCACTTAGGAAAAGCTTTCTTGCTCTGCCTGTTTCCATGCTTTCAACAATGTCCTGAAACTGTGGCCTCGTGGTATCAAATGCCTGCATTTTAATCTTCAAAATGCCACTTGTTTGCTGGATAACAGGGTATTTAATCTGTGTATGTAAACTTTGGTCTAAAGCATTCCTGTAGTGTATTAGCGTATAGTATTTAATGCTCTTTAACCTGGTAAGGGAGTAGTACAGTGGCATATGTTCCTTTACCTGAGATGGATTAGAAAGTTCCATAAAGAGGGAATAATAGAGAACCACAGACTAGGTGAGTCAGGGAATCCATTTTCTTATAGACCCTTGGAAGAACCTATTTCTGACTTGACCATTTTCCTCTTCCCTGACAACGCTGTAGAGTGGAGTAAGCAAAAAACTGAGTTGATTAGCTTTGATCATTGACTTTCACCCAGAGAAGCAAAATCTTACATTGACCCAAAAGCGGGAGCTCCGTACTTTCTAAATGAACTGAAGCCAAAAACAGATTTGTAATAATGAAGGATTTACACTAAATGAGTCTTTTTACTTTGATCTCTGATGAATTTGTTGAATTATGTTTTAATCTTTTTGTGTGTTGTTAGAAACTACTAACTTTATTCTTTAAAAACAATATAGGAGTGGCGCCTGGGTGGCTCAGTCAGTTAAGCGCCTGCCTTTTGCCCCGGTCATGATCCCAGGGTCCTGGGATCGAGCCCCACATCGGGCTCCCTGCTCGGTGGGGAGCCTGCTTCTCCCTCTCCCTCTGCCCCTCCACCCCACTGTGTTCTTTCTCGATCACTCTTCTCTCTCTCTCTCAAATAAATAAATAAAATAAAAAAATAAAAACAATGTAGGATATGGAGTGTGTTTTTATTCTTGTGGAATGTATTTAAATTTGAATTTTTGACAATGTTAAAATCAGAGGTTTGGGGGCGCCTGGGTGGCTCAGATGGTTGAGCGTCTGCCTTCGGCTCAGGTCATGATCCCAGGGTCCTGGGATCGAGCCCCACATCGGGCTCCCTGCTCGGTGGGGAGCCTGCTTCTCCCTCTGCCTGCCGCTCCCCCTGCTTGTGCTCTCTTCTCTCACTCTCTGACAAATAAATAAGTAAATTCTTTAAAAAAATTAAAAAAAACTTAAAAAAAGAAATCAGAGGTTTGTAGCACATCATTGCATTAATTCACCATGCCCTGTTCCATTTTTAAATTTGAATTAGAACGTTCTGGGAGTAGTTGTGTGTCTTTGACAGTGTGGTGTCCTTGTGTCAGTGTTACAAGTCTGCCATATGCCATTTACCTGCCATTACTGAACTGCTTGGTGAGGATACAAGAATGAATGGGAGCTCTCAGTTTCTGGAGCAGCTCTTTTGTTAAAGTCAGGTTTATTGAGATAGAACATTTACTCTTTTTAAGTGTAGGCTTGATGAGTTGTGACAAATGTATAGTTATGTAACCACCATCTCAGTCAAGATATAGAATATTTTCATTGCCCAGAAAGGTGCTTACCTTGTGGCCCTTTACAGTCAGTCCCCTCTCTATTTCCCCAGCCCTTGGCAACCTCTGATCTATCTCTATGGTTTTATCTCTTCTAGAATGTCATATAAATGGAATCTGTATTCATGTTTGTGTATCAGTAATTCATTCCTTTTTATTTCTGAGTGGTAGTTCATTGTTTGGATGTACATTTTTTTTTTTTAAGTTTTAATTCCAGTTAGCATACAGTGTTGTATTAGTTTCAGGTGTACAGTACAGTGATTCAGCACTTCCATACATTATCCAGTTAATGTAGAACAATTTTTAATCCATCCACCATTGATGGACGTTTTGGCAATTATGACTAGAAGATTTGTCTTTCCATTTTGTAAAACGACTTTCCATTTTGCTTATCCTGGGAATCTTATTTATTTATGTATTTATTTATTTATTGGGTAGGCTCCACGCTCAGTGTGGAGCCCAGGGTGGGACTTGAACTCATGACCCTGAGATCAAGAGTCAGACGCTTAACAGATTGGGCCACCCAGATGCCCCTCCTGGGAATCTTAATTTAAATTGGGTATAACTGTGATAGGAATGTTGCTTATAGATCAAGAATAATAAGAGGCAGGTAATTTGCAACAAGTATATTGTCTTCATCCTCGTACACTACTCTGTTTTCTTTTGTTTCATTTACAGATGTGAATGTACACCTTTAGCTGATGGGTATATACAAGATAATACTGTTTGGGGTGCCTGGATGAGTGTCCGACTTGATTTTGGCTCAGGTCATGAGATTGAGCCCTGTGTTGGGTTCAGCACTCAACGGGGAGTCTGCTGGAGATTCTTTCCCCTCCTCCCTCTCCCTCCTCCTCTGCTCTTCCACCCCACCTCCACACTCTCTCTCTCTCTCTCAAATAAATAAATAAAAATCTTTTTAAATAAAAAGATAACACTGTTATCAAATCATTTTAAAACTCAAAAGGACTAATCAAATAATCTGACCTAATGGGGATACTGAGGCTCAAGAAGTGACAGGAGCTGCTTGTGACAAAACTATTTAGTAGCAGCGCCTCTGCTAGGCTCCAGATCTCTGGTTCAGTCCCCTCTGCTTTTTTTGTGTACCAAGCTGTTCCTCAAAAGCTTATGTACTGGGATGCTTGGGTGACTCAGTCGGTTAAATGTCTGTCTTTGGCTCAGGTCATGATCCCAGGGTCATGGGATGGAGTCCCAGTCCCACGTTGGGCTTCCTGCTCAGAGGGGAGTCTGCTTCTCCCTCTGCCCCTCCCCCTTGCTCATGCTTTCTCTCTCAAATAAATAAATAATCCAAAAAAAAAAAGCTTATGTACTAATTATTCAACGAGAGAGATATAGTTGTACCAAAACACAGTGTGTAATTAAAATAAGACTTAAATATTTTGTTATGGAAAATTTCAAACAAATAAGTAGGGAGAATTTAATAAGTTTTTATCCGTGGTTCTCAGCCAGGAATGATTTTGCCCCCCAGTGGACATTTGATGATGTCTAGAGACATTTTTGATTGTCACAACTCAAGAGAGTTTACTGACTAGGAATGCTGCTAAACATTTTACAATACACAAGACATCACCCCTTCCTCCCCCAACAACAAAATAAAATATCTGGCCAAAAATGTCAATAGTGCCAGAATTGAGAAACCCTGTTAAATAGTTAGCCCTCCATGTACTCAACAGCTCAGTGGCCAGTCTTATTTCATCTGGTTTCTCCCCAAGAAACAAATTCAGTACATCATATCATTTCATCTCTAAAGCTTTTAGAATCTTTAGATAAAGCTTCTATTTTTATAAAAATTGTAATCATAATCCTTTTATCATAATTTCTTTCTTTCTTTTTTTTTTTAAAGATTTTATTTATTTATTTGAGACAGAGAGAATGAGAGAGAGAGAGAGCACATGAGAGGGGGGAGGGTCAGAGGGAGAAGCAGGCTCCCCGCCGAGCAGAGAGCCCGATGCGGGACTCGATCCAGGGACTCCAGGATCATGACCCGAGCCGAAGGCAGTCGCCTAACCAACTGAGCCACCCAGGCGCCCTATCATAATTTCTTAATATCAGATATCCAGTCAGCCTTCAAATTTCTTCAGTTGTCTACATTTTAATTTTTTTAATTAAAAGAAAAGATTTTATTTATTTGATAGAGAGCGCACGCAGGGAGAGAGGCAGAGGGAGAAGAGGGCTAAGCAGGCTCTCAACTGAGCAGGGAGCCCGACAAGGGGCTCAGATCCCAGGACCCTGGGATCATGACCTAAGCTGAAGGCAGACGCTTAACAGACTGAGCTGACGTAGATGCAACACTTATCTACCTTTTCAACACTTTGTTCAAACTGGAATCTCTTGGGTCCATATGTTACAGTTAACTAATATGTGAAATTAGATGCATTTTGAAGGCAACAAAGTTTATG